ACTTCCTCTCTGCAGATTTTTTCAAACTGAGTCCTAGAAAATAAAATTTACAAACAATGTCATTAAAGCTGGCACCAAGCACCATCCTGGCCTGATCTCTGGAAAGGCTTATAGACTTCAAGGGGGGTTTCTCTGCACTAAATCCACCTCCAGTCTTAGGTAGAAGAATTCTGACAAGAGGAAAAAGAAAATGATCAACTCCAGGTCCCAGGTTCCTAATGGTCAGGTTGGAATCCATTGTCCAGAACTAAAATATTCTCTTTTTTTTCTTTTTTTGGAGAGGTTTTTGCTATAGGGCGCGGGCGCTCGCCAGACAGACGGAGAGAGACAGAGAGACAGAAAGCAAGAAATCTCCCCCCAGGGGGGATGGCCACGCTGCAATCTCTTCTCCTCCATTCTCCTCTCCGGACCTTGGGCATGCCCGCACACACGTCTGGTGTGAGTTTGAGCCACCGGGTCCGGGACTCGAACCGCGGTCGACTATGTGGGAGTCCAGTGACATAGCCATTATGCTAACTGCTGGCCCCCAGAACTAAAATATTCTTAACTTGGGACCAGCAGGTGGCAGCGTGTTTAAGGCACTGGATTTCATATGGCTGACTGCAGCTCCAGTCCTGGACCTGGTAGCTTGAAATTCATGCTTGGTGTGTGTGCATGTGTGCTCAAAATACTGAAAGGAGAATGGAGGAGAAGGGATTGCGGTATGGCCATCCCTCCAGAGGTGATTTCTCACTTTCTCTCTCTCTGTCTCTCTCCAGAGAGTGCACATGCTCTATAGCAAAAATCTAGAATAAAATTAAAAAGGAGAAGGCTGGTTCCAGAACCCCTACCCCTAAACACTTCCTAACCAAATCATTAAAAAATAGCTGAACATTTGGAGGCTAATCTAACTCGTACTCTCACTACATACATATAATGCATATTTTCTGTAAAATTATGAATGATGTTACTATACCTAAATCGCTCAATATCAGCATCAGATACCAGATTTTTAATGATAAGAAATCCATTTTCTTCATAAAATTTTCTCTGTTCCAGGGTCAGAACATTATTATCCAGGGTATACCTAAAAGAAAAAAAAAAAAATCCTCCAAGTAAGTCCAATTTTTAAGCTACAACCGAACAATATGTTTCAAAAACCTGAGAAATGTTGATACTCCTCAATCCAGCATTTCTCTAGGACTTTAAAGAAAAAATTTAGTCAATTTAAAAAGCTTTAAGTCCAAAACATTAACTATAATTACCAAAAAAACTGTGCACCAATGGAAGAAAAATTAATGACATTATAGTCACTCAGTGATATATGACATAGGCATTAAAGACAAAGGGTGTACAAGAGTATGGATAAGGCTTATTATAATAAAATAGAATTATAACCATGTAAAGCCAAGACACTACTCATTTAAAAAAAAAAAAAAAAAAAGACTGCAAAGAAACACAAAGAGAGAGTTTTGCTATAAGGTGCATGCGCCTGCTGGAGACAGAGAGAGAAGGAGAGACAGAAAGTAAGAAATCATCCCCCAGGGGGTTAGCCACGCTGCAGTCCCTTCTCCTCCATTCTCCTCTTGGGATTGTGGGCAAGCAGGCACACACGCCCAGAGTGAGTTTTAATCTCCCAGGTCTGGGACTCAAACCGCGATCAACTTTGTAGGAGTCCAGCAACATAACCATTACATCATCTGAAAATATTTTTAAATAGTGTGTGTCTTTCAGTAATGGAATTATTGATGGTTTTTAAGAATTATTTATCTTGTTTATGTTTATATTTTTCTGTAATAAATATGTTTGGCTTTGAAATAGAAAACAAATTTAATAAATTTCCTATTTTTATTGCCCTGTTGATGCATTCTCAGAGGTAACCAAAGTAACAACATTTAAATAAATATACAGCATACCCACAAACTCAAATTACCCAATCCACTCCTTAAGATTGTAATTGTGGCTGTGTGAGAATCTTTATAAAGGGGACCAGCAGGTGGCGTGGTGGTTTAGGCGCTGGATACTCCCACATGGCTGACCACTGTACAAGTCTCAGACCTGGCAGCTTGCTTTCTCACTTTCCCTCTTTCTCTCTCTGTGTCTCTCTGGTCAAACTAAAAATAAATGAATGAATAAATAAAATTAAATAAATGATTTTAAATAAAAGGCTGTGGTCTCCTAAAAAAGTGGTTAAAGATTGCTGCCATGTCAGTATAACCAAACTACAAGTTAATTTACATGTGATATATCATGTCTGGATTCTTAAAGATAAATTATGCATTTTCTGATATTTTTCCTTCTTGCTAAATTTTAAGATATGTATGAAAAAATACTCAACATCCCTCATTGTAAGGAAAATGCAGATCAAAACAACAATGAGATACCACCTAACCCCAGTCAGAATGACTAAGATTAAAAAAAAAAAAAAAGACAAGTGCTGAGGGGTGTGGTGAAAGGGGAAGTCTCTTACACTACTGGTGGGAATGTAAATTGGTCCAGCCACTGTGGAGAACAATTTGGAGAGTCCTCAAAAATCTACAAATAGAACTACCATGTGATCCAGCAATCCCAGTCCTTGGTATCTACCCAAAGGATAGAAGGATTCTTAATTGGAAAAGTGCTTGCACATTGATGTTTATTGCGGCTATTCACAATTGCTAAGACATGGAACCAACCCAAATGCCCACAAACAGATGAATAGATTGAAAAACTGTGGCATATTTACTCTATAGAATACTATTCAGCCATAAAAAATAACAAGACCATGGCTTTTGACAGAAAGTGAAAGAATATGGAAGATTTACTGCTGAGTGAAGCAAGCCAGGCTATGAAGGAGAGACATTGTATGTCCCCACTTAATATATACCAAGTGTCTGCACTCTGTGACAGAAACTGATTGACTAAAGGATATAGAAACACAGTAATTGGATGTGAATACCTGATATAGTGTGTGTGAAAGAGTAGTCTGAGGAAGGACATTTAAAAGGAAAATAGAGAGGCAAAGCATCAATGGGACAAAGAAATGTGGTATTATCTGTTGAAGATAGTTTTATAGTTTTATCAACTAGACAAGGGAGAATTGTTCACAATTTGGAATATTCACTTTGTAAGCTAAATAATGTGATTGAATATATAAACGAAAAATGAAATTAAAAAAAATCAATGAGACCCTGACCTTTCATATAAAGTTGTTGAATATGGAAGACTTAATGCTAAGCAAAGCAAGCCAGACTAGGAAAGACATTTCAATATATAGCAAATGTCTATGTTCTATTGGAGAGACTGATATTGGGAGGTAGCAGGAAGGGTAACTATAGATACTAGAGATAGTAAAGATAGTAAAGATGGAGGTAATATGGGGGTGGATAACAGAGGGAAAATGGAGGGAAACAGTGAAAATAAACAGTACACTTAATTGACAAAAATGGAAAGTTATTTGCTGAAGATAACACATATGGTAATGTCTTTGTCTTGACTGATATGTACTGTATTCATGCTGGGAAAAGTCATGTTGTATACACTGTAAAGATGTACAGTGGTTAAATATAAATAATAAATAATAAAAAATTTTAATAATAAAAAAATAAATTTAAAAATTAAAAAAAAATAAAGTCAGAGTCTGCAGAATTTTCCACAATTGTACTAATTAGAACAAGTTCTGGAAGCAAAGAATTTGTATAATAAATTCTAATCAGGCAACATGTCATGTTATATCCAAGTTATCACCTAAAGAACTTGATATACAAAATATAATGAAAAATTTAAATTAGATCTACTTACTGGAACTGAGGACAGTAATTGGCAGGGATAATGGTCTCTGAAGTGGGGTGAGCTACCTGGGATGTGAATTAAGGCATATACAGTAAAATTTAGGAGCCAACCTTTTCTAGAAATAACTGGGTGAATTGATCTCACAAGATGTCCTCAGTAGACACCAGACAATTTGGTGGCACCCATAACCACTGATGAATAAGCACTGATTACTGCTTAAGGCCCTTGTATTACTTCACTTCATTTCATTTTCACAATAGCCTAAGGAGGTAGCGGGAGGATCAAGAGCTTTCCTATCAATCCTGCTACACAGAGCAGGAAACCCAGGCTCTGAAGGCTCTGTAACTGGCCGAGGTCCCCTAGTGAGAAACGGCTAAGCCGGGACAGGCCCCACACTCATTACTGCAAAGCTTCAATCTCCTTATTCTACGTGACTGTTCTTCCACTAAGCTGCTGAATGAATAACAACTCAATTCAACTCTAGGAGTCAGGAGAAACATGTGTTATTCACCAAAGTTATTTAATTTATTAATAGTAGGACTTCAGTCCAAATAGTAGAAATAGTTTGGTTAAAAAAAAAAAAAAAATTCTGTTATAGTGATTGAATATAAAAAAATAAGAAAAAAGTAAGAAAATAAAATTTTTAAAAAGATGTACAATGATTAAATGTAAAAAAAGGAAATTATGTGAATGATGATCACCAAATAAAGAATATTAATAAAGATTAAAAAAAGCCTATTAAAAAAAAACAATTATTCCAAGAAAAAACAGTATACATGGTATGATCTACCCAGTTGCGTACAATTTCAAGTATCTTAGAGAAGCAGATACTTGTTTAACTCATTTTGTAAGATCACTTTTCCATCTGCTAACTGCAGATTGATATAGCATCTCACTGTTTTTTTCATCTTTCTCATTATTTCTTCAGCTTAAAGAGTTACTCTTAGGATGTCACTTGTCATAAACACTCTACCACTGCTTCAATGATGTCTTTATATAATTTGGATACAATGCCATTGTCCAGGGAAAGCAAATCAGGAGGCAGAACTATTAGCTACTGCCTTGTTTTCTCTGAAAGAAAGAGGTCAACACCCTCAGTCAGCTCTTCTCTAACATCTTTGCTCAGACATCCAAACTTTAGCCTGCCAGGCCAGTGTTCCTTTCATCTTGCATCATCTTGCATTTCCATTTTTGTTTTGCTTGTAATTTTTTTTTTTTTTTTTAACCAGAGAGCATGTGTATTTTTCTTTCAGGAGAGAGAGAAAGCATCCCACTCCCCCATGACGTGTGGTCATGTTGCAATCCTTTTCTCTCCATTTCCCCATTCTGTCAGGATTTGGGGCATGCAGGACCAGCAATTAGCGTAATGGCTATGTCGCTGGACTCCCACGTAGTAGACCACAGTTCAAGTCCCGGACCTGATGGCTTAAACTCACACTGGGCACGTGTGCGTGCATGCCCAAGATCCCGAGAAGAGAATGGAGGAGAAGGGACGGTGGCGTGGTCATCCCCCCTGGGGAGTGATTTCTCGCTTTCTGTCTCTGCCTCTCTCTGTCTGTCTGGTGAGCGTATGCGCCCTATAGCAAAAACCTCCCCCCTCCCTCCCCCTAAAATATGCAGATTGTCAGTGCAAAGAGATGTGTACCCGGCCTGTTTTTCTTTTTGAGAGGTTTTCGCTAGAGGGAGCATGCGCTCGCCAGACAGACAGAGACAGAGAGATAGAAAGCAAGAAATCACCCCCAGGGAGGATGGCCATGCCGCAATCCCTTCTCCTCCATTCTCCTCTCGGGATCTTGGGCACACACGCACACGCGCCCGGCGTGAGTTTTAAGCCGCCGGGTCCAGGACGCAAACCACGGTCGACTACGTGGGAGTCCAGCGACATAGCCATTATGCTAATTGCTGGTCCCTCGGCCTGTTTTTCAAGCTGCTGGGCTAGGATTTGAACCACGAAGTTGGCCATATGGGATCTAGTTCCCTTAACCACCAGGCTCAGGGCAGCCCATGGTTTCTTTTTTGTTATTGTTCTTGAAGAATTTTTTAATGATGTGAAAATGTCTACCATATGAAGTTAGGTGTAAAGAAAGGGATACAAAAAAATGGTATCATTCTAACCATGTAATATATGCACATGAGGAAACACACCAAAAAGTTTATAAATGATGATTTGTGACTGGTGGAGTATGAGTTATATTTGTTTTCTACTTATCTACATTTTAAAAACACATTACATTTTAGGCTTCAAAAATGGTTATCTCTTATTCCAAAATTCATATCTCTTTAGAAACAGTTAAGGTTGGAGAAACCGTCACAAAATTTCCAGAAATCTACTTAAGGCTAATCTACAAATGCACTGAAAACGCTGGCAAGAGCTAATACCAAAGCTGCTGGCCACATCTGATTAAACTGAAATTAATATAAAATTCAGTCCCTCAACTGCACTGGTCACATTCAAGTGCTCACTTCCCCATGTGGCTAGTACGGGACAGAGCAAGAAAAGAACATTTGCATCCTTGTAGAAGTTGTTTTGAACAGTGCTACTCTGGTAAATACGGTTGAAAACCTTAGCTCTAACCTCGATGCTATTTTAACAAGAACCAGTAGGACCTGAAAATCAAATTTAAGAAGTTGTGAGAAATGGGACCAGCAGTTAGCGTAATGGCTATGTTGCTGGACTCCCATGTAGTCGACCGCGGTTCGAGTCCTGGACCTAACGGCTTACACTCACGCTGGGTGTGTGTGCGTGTGTGACCAAGATCCTGAGAGAAGAATGGAGGAGAAAGGATTGTGGCGTGGCCATTCCCCTTCCCCCTGAGGAGGTGATTTCTCACTTTCTGTCTCTCTGTCTCTCTTTCTGGCGAGCACACGCACCCTATAACAAAAACTTCTCCGGCCCACCCCACCCAAAAACAAAAACTTCTCCAAAAAAAAAAAAAAAAAAAAAAACATACATTCTGATTCCCTAGGTGTGAGCCAAGCCTTAAAATTTGTATCTTTTTTTTTTTTTTTTTTTTTTTTTTGCAGAGGTTTTCGCTATAGGGCATGTGCGCTGGCCAGAAAGACAGAGAGAGACAGAGAGATAGAAAGTGAGAAATCATCCCCCGGGGGGGATGGTCAGTCCGCAATCCCTTCTCCTCTATTCTCTCGGGATCTTGGGCATGCACGCAGACAGGCTCGGTATGAGTTTAAGCCGCTAGGTCCGGGACTAGAACCGCGGTCGACTACGTAGGAATCCAGCTAACTAACCATTATGTCAATTGCTGGTCCCAGAATTTGTATCTCTGGCAAGGTCACTGCTAACTAGTGATGCAGAGATGCTGCTAGTCTGAGAACCACACTGACAACCAGTGGTCAAGATGTCCTCACTTTCTTAGCCTCAGTCTCCCGGTCTCACCTGCACAGTGAGATTACAGTGGTCACCTGGGTTTCCTGAATCATGCTGTGGACAGAATTTAAACTTATAGTTCAGACTCACTGCTGCAGAGAACTTCCCCAGGAAAAGTAATAATGAAAGTAAACACACACTCAAAAACCCTGTTATTATAGTCAGCCCCTGAGAGACGTGGGGATCCTAAATACAACACAACAGAAGTTAAGCAGGTCGCTTCAGGAAAATTCCCTGTCAGGGGTTTCTATCCAGCTTCCAAAAGCATGCCTCAAATGAGAACACTTGATCCCAGCAGTTCAAAAAAGTAGCTTGATTTACCGCTGCACCTAGTCACTACACCAGTACACTCACAGACCTTCCGTAATAAACTCCTGAAGATCCAATGAGGAGGCAGGCGCACGGTACTAAGTCCGATTCCAGGAAACTATATTCAACTACAGGGTTGGGGTCCCCGGGCACCCAGAGGCCTCAGCGCACACAGCTCACTGGGAAAGCAGAGGGGGCCTGGCTGTCAGTGAACTCCCCTGCAGAGCCCAGTCAGGGGCAGAGCACAGCGTCCAGCTCCTGTCCCCCAGAGAGCCACAGCCCCCTCCCGAGGGGCCGCCGCCTGCCCGCGTTGGTCACATCCAAGCAGCTCTGCGCTCGTCTTCACGGTGCCACCGTGCTAGGACATAGGGGATTCTAAGTCTCTGGGGAGCCACGGAGGGCCTGCTCTGCCAAGCGCAGAAAAATGACCAGCCACCCTCACGATGACGTCCCCATGCCTCACTCTTCACAAGGCAATAAACAGCCCCCAGGAAGGCACAGAACAGCAGGCGACGCCGCACGGCGACTGAGGCCAGGACAGGCACGAGCTCGCTGGGGCCCCGGGCGTCCAGGGGTGTAGCCTCCTCCCTGCTTCCTTGCACTAGGAAAAGATGTGACTCTCTTGGGACAAGGGTGAGGAGTAGGGCAAGCAGCGGTGCCTGCGCCCTGGAGGCCATCACTCTGGCCAGGGCCGTCACCAAGCCGAGGCGGCGGAGCCCAGTGCAGCACGAGCCCCGCGCAGCGCAAAGGATACCACGGCCTTGGCCGAGGGGCGACCAAGGTGTCCCAGCACGATCCGCAGGCGAGCGGCAGCGCGGGGCCCGTCCATGGCGGTAGCGAGACGGGCGGCCAGGCCTCTGTCGCACTTAACCCTGCAGGCGACCCCGCCTCCCAGGCGGCTGGTGGGAGGGCCCCGCCAAGGGCAGGACGCTGGCGGGCTCAGCTCCCAGGACTCCGCAGCGCCGCCTCGCGGCGGGGCCTGCGGAAACGCGGAGACGCCCTCCGCCGCAGGGGGTCCGGGTGCAGGGCCAGGAGGCGGTGCTGACGTCCCGCTCGTACACCCTGTTCTGACTCACCGCAGGGTCATCCTGGCTGGACCCAGGCCCAGGCTGGGCGGCAGTGACAAAGCAGAGGCCACGCAGAGCTGGGACCTGACCAGCGCCCTTCACTTAACCTCAGTCTATTTTATCCTACATAGCTGTTCCACTAACTGCTGAACGAATGGAAATCCAGTTGTTCATTCCTAACTCCTCTATGCTGTTCAAAAGAGGTGTTTGATTTACTCAGAGTCTGGCCCAAAGTATTAGAAATAGTTGGCTGTTCATTTTTTAAAAGAGGTGTACAAAATAAATGACTCCCAGTAAAGACTGATCCACACAGTCCAGCAGAATTTTAAATTTCTTACAGAACTAGAAATATTTTTGGAAGACCTCTTTTCCATGC